GATAATATCTCGTATCTATTAACTACGAAGTAAATCTATTACGAAATAAATCTATTATGAAGTAAATATACTAAATTAAATTAAATGTGGTCACAATGCAAGGCCCCTCATTCTGCAAGGTATAGAATCAGCGACAATAAGCCGAAGTGTACACCGTAACAAGGTTCATCTCTGTAGGTATTTGAAACACCCAACTTGTTTTCGTATTGTTTAGTCTGTTTCAGGCCTTCCATGAAATTTCTATTTACTCAGATCCCTCGCTAAATCACTAAATTAATTGAAAAACCTGCCTAATCAGCCACGCACGCTATATTGCGTTGCGGACTTATACATTCCATAGCGTGGTAGATGCGGTCCACATCACCGAGTCATATTCCCGAGCGTATCCACTTTACTTTCTTTCTCCCCTTGCGACTTTGGCCAAGGGCTTTGATTAAATTCGACCGACGTGGCTTTCTGGGCACACTATTTCTTTTTAACTTCTGCAGCTCCCTTTGTTTGCCCAACAAGGGAATGATCTGTCTAATCTTGCGCCATCCGTGACCATCCGACCGTCAGCACGCTATCACCCTCCACCATCGCGTCGGAGGTAGTTTGTCGAACACTCTCCATATGCTATAGTACTGTCGTTCCTCGCCGTGTTCGCCTCGCGCTACACCGTCGAGATGTTATCTACGAATCCGCACGCCGGCGGGGCCAGTCGAGCCGCAATAACCACCACAACTATCAAAATCGACGGAATGACTTGCGGAGCCTGCACATCAGCCGTGGAGGGTGCATTTAAAGGAGTAGACGGTGCGCGAGATGTTTCCGTCAGTCTCATCATGGGCAGGGCCGCTGTACAACATGATCCGTCAGTGTTACCGCCTGCGAAAATCGCAGAGATGATTGAGGACTGCGGGTTCGATGCGGCAGTACTTTCGACCGAGGAACAAAGGAATCCCGACTCTGCTTCTTTTTCGGCTACGCGACTCTCGCTGACCACCCTAGCGGTTGAGGGTATGACATGTGGGGCATGTACGTCCGCAGTGGAAAGCGGGTTGAGCGATGTCAGCGGTGTGAACTCCGTAGATGTATCACTGCTTTCCGAGCGCGCAGTTGTGGAACACGACGCAGAAATTATCACACCAGAGCAGATTGCAGAGCTCATTGAAGATCGAGGCTTTGGAGCGCGAGTGCTGGACACTTCCTTCGGGGGCTCCAAGGGGCCATCTGCATCGGCTGACTCGGAAGAGAAATCGGGACTTCTGGTTACCACCATCGCAATCGAAGGCATGACATGCGGCGCTTGCACATCTAGCGTCCAGGGGGCCCTGGACAGCGTGGATGGGGTAATCCAGTTTAACATCAGTCTTCTGGCTGAGCGGGCGGTGGTTGTGCACGACCCGACCATACTCCCTGCCAGCAAAATTCCGGATCTTGTTGAAGATGCCGGATTTGATGCGTCGATCGTGTCATCAGAGGCGCAAGCAGCAATCTCCAAAAACAAACAGCAGATCAATTTAAGCTTACATGGGCTGCGGGACGGCGTTTCCGCCACAGCACTGGAAGACGCTTTATTACAGCAATCAGGTGTCTATTCAGTATCAATAAAAATGGCTACCTCTCATATGGTCATCTCTTTCGACCCATCTATAATCGGCGTCCGGTCTCTTGTGGAAGTGATTGAGGCTGCTGGCTACAACGCCTTGATTGTCGACTCAGATGATACCAACGCACAGCTACAGTCATTGTCTAAAACGAAAGAAATCCAAGAATGGAGAAGATCCTTCATCATCGCCGCCTCTTTTGCGGTTCCCGTCTTCCTCATCAGCATGATTCTTCCAATGTATTTGCCTGGAATTGACTTTGGCAGTATTGTACTGTTCCCGGGCCTATGGCTCGGAGATCTGATCTGTCTCGCTCTTACTACTCCGGTGCAATTCGGCATTGGAAAACGGTTTTATGTCACCAGCTTCAAGTCCCTCAAGCATCGATCCCCAACCATGGACGTCCTCGTGATGTTGGGCACGTCCGCCGCCTTCTTTTACAGCTGTTTCACCATGATCGTGGCTCTTTGCAGTATGGACCATGGGCGTCCGAGCACCGTGTTTGACACTAGTACGATGCTTATCACCTTTATCACTTTAGGCAGGTGGCTAGAGAATCGAGCCAAGGGCCAAACTTCCGCTGCTCTTTCTAGGCTTATGTGCCTGACCCCATCTATGACGACTATCTATGAAGATCCCATTGCGGCAGAGAAAATGGCTGAGCGCTGGACCTCCAAACCTACATCTGGCGCATCCGAGCAACCCACGTTCGCTGATGGCATGACAGTGAATCAAAAATGCATTCCCACCGAGCTAATTCAAGTCGGTGATGTTGTCATCCTCCACCCCGGAGATAAGGTATCTGCGGACGGTGTGATCATCCGGGGCGAAAGCTATGTTGACGAGAGTATGCTCAGTGGAGAGGCGCTCCCTATTCACAAAAAGAAAGGCAGTCAGATCATTGCCGGAACCGTGAACGGCACAAACTCCATTGATTTCAAAGTCATTCGAGCCGGCAAGGATACCCAGCTGAGCCAGATTGTAAAGTTGGTACAGGATGCGCAGACGAGCCGTGCTCCGATTCAGCGCATGGCTGATATCGTTGCTGGTTACTTTGTCCCGGCCATCGTCTGTCTTGGTTTGATCACATTCTTTGGCTGGATGTTCCTCAGTCATGTACTGCCCCACCCGCCCACAATATTTGAAATGGCAGGCAATGGTGGCCGAGTCATGGTTTGCTTGAAGCTGTGCATCTCGGTCATTGTGTTTGCGTGCCCTTGTGCTTTAGGCCTAAGCACCCCGACCGCGGTCATGGTTGGTACCGGCATCGGCGCGGAGCATGGCATTCTCGTCAAGGGAGGTGCCGTGCTAGAAGCTGCCACGAAAGTTACCCATGTTGTCTTTGATAAGACGGGCACTCTGACTACAGGTCGGATGAGCGTGGCTCACACCCGGATTGAACCTCAATGGACAATGAACGACTGGCGCCGCCAGATCTGGTGGCTTATTGTTGGTCTCGCAGAGACAGGCAGTGAACACCCAATCGGACGAGCGATCTTCTCTGCGGCCATAACTGAATCAGGTCATCCTGGAGAAGATGGGTTGCCTGGGAGCGTGGGTGACGTTGACAACTGTGTTGGTCAGGGCGTCTCTGCCATCGTTGAACCTCCATCTAGCGGCGAGTGTATCCGACACCATGTCCTCCTTGGCAACGCCAACTTTCTCCGTACCAAAGGCGTCCCTGTTCCCGCCGATGCAGATCCCGACTCTGTGGAACCTATCGAAGACCCGGAAGCTGACAGATCCAAGTCTGGTGACACCGCGTCCGGAATTACACACATCCACGTTGCAGTCGACAACTGCTACGCTGGAACCATCTCCCTCCGAGACACAGTGAAAGACACAGCCGTGGCGGCAGTAGCGGCGTTGCATCGCATGGGGATCTCTACCTCCATGGTAACAGGCGACACGCTCTCAACTGCGATAGAAATCGCCTCAGCAGTCGGTATCCCAACCGCTTCAATCCACGCCTCTGTCTCCCCATCGGAAAAACGCTCAATCGTCTCCGCCCTCCAGGCAGAAGGTGAGCGTGTCGCCATGGTTGGCGACGGCATCAACGACTCTCCCGCGCTGGCCACAGCATCCGTCGGAATCGCCCTCGCATCTGGCACAGATGTAGCCGTGGAGGCTGCTGATATCGTCCTCATGCGTCCGGACGATCTACTCTCGGTACCAGCCAGTCTCTCCCTCTCGCGCACAGTCTTCAAACGCATCAAGATGAACTTAATATGGGCTTGTATGTACAATGTCGTCGGCCTTCCATTCGCCATGGGCCTTTTCCTCCCCTTCACGGGCTTCATGCTACCCCCCATGGCTGCCGGTGCTGCCATGGCCCTTTCCAGTGTCTCTGTCGTCGTTAGCAGTCTCCTATTGAAGTTCTGGCGTCGCCCGTCTTGGATGGAGGTTGACCGTCTTGAGAAGGAACTTCGCTCAGGTGCAATCTCTGCAGCTGATGTGGCACGTCGCCGTCATGCCCGTAAGATGAGCTGGTGGGCTTCTACTACTCTTTTCGAGTATAACCCCCGTTCTCTACGTCGTGTCAGAAATGTTATCTCTTCACTTTGGTCTCTTGTCACTGGCAAAGGACCCATGCCGACTGGTCGGGGTGATGATGGTTATGTTCCACTGCAGACAGTTGAGCCGCCCGTTTAAATTCGCCTTGTCCAATTCGCCATATGCGGAGCTGCCTTATATAGGCGCTTGCTTCGTTTTGATACTTCATGCTCAATGTTGTTAGTTTGACATGTTTCGGGCCTGGTTTGGCGTTTCGTTTGGGCTTACTTTTAAATTATTTGATACCTCCTCCGTTAAGGTCATTTATGCATTTGTTATAAAAAGATCCTCTCACGTGTAAAAGTATCGAAGGCTAAAAAGTAAGGGATAGGTAGTTACATCGGCCCTGGTAGTTAGCTACTTTATATAACGAGAAGTACCTAAGTCTATGCCGACTTAACCTTGAGACTCACCTGCTCCGTGCTCCGTGAAATATGTAGTATCGTTAATACATGGAAACGAATCAGACCCGTTATTCGTTCAAATTACATTCATTCCGTGAAGAGTGATCTACAGGGTCTAGACTAAACCTATTCAGGACTCTCTGCCTCAGGCAACACATTCGATCGGAGCAGCGTGCAAACAATGCAAACAAGTGGGCGGGATGACTCCGAGGCTTTTTTGTGCTCTTCTTTGATAACAAGATCGTCGCATTTCTTTGGTGCTATTTCTGGCGACAGTATCTAAGGACCGATCCCGACACCCCTCAGACTACTTTTGCCAACTTTGCGTTCAAAGGGTTGTTGATACATTTTAATGTAAAACCGCCCTGCCGTTTTCCCACAGGCTCTTCACGAGAACTAGTTCTTGCGATCCTGTAGATTGATAAAGAACTCGTGGCTGACAACCCTTGCAGCAATGGCTCCCAAGCAGAAGGCTGGCCAAAAGCCGAAGCCCAATTCGGCGGAGGAAGTGGAAGAGACATTCCAAGCTGTGGTAAGTCTACAAGTTGGCAGGTGGTTTGCGTGACTGTTCTCGCCGATGTCGTCTTTATAGGTTACATGATTTACTAACTTGTGGCTTTGCTTAGGTGCTTGCAGACACCTTCGAGACGAGATTCGAGCCATTCACCCGCGACAAGCCTCGTGTATGTTCCCTACAGCACACCATTTCTGTCCCAAGACCTCGCAATTAACGGACCAAATTATCACAGTGCCTTTTGCCGCTCGCAAATACCCCTTTGATCGAATATACTCTCGAATTTCTGGCCAATGCAGGCGTGGAGGAGGTCTTCCTCTACGGAGGAGCACACTCGGATCAGCTGGAGAAATACATCAAGTACGTTTGCCCTAGGGACTCCCTCTGGTACGGATGGCAGAGCTGACTTGTATTGCTAGTGCATCGAAATGGAGGGCCCCGTCTTCTCCATTCAAGCAGTTAACCTTCCTGAAATCGACTTCCACCTCTGTCGGTGACGTTATGCGCGACCTAGACGGCAAGCACCTCATTACTGGAGACTTCATTGTCGTGAGCGGTGACGTGATTAGCAATCTGCCCATCGAGGGTGCATTGGCTCAACACCGGGCCCGTCGGGCACTTGACAAGAATGCGATCATGACCATGGTTCTAAGGGAGGCTGGCCTGCAGCACAGGACCAAGTCCACCTCAGTTTCGCCGATTTTCGTCATTGACCCTACCAAGGACCGTTGTCTCCACTACGAGGAAATCGACCGCCATCCCGACGACGAGCAATTGTCTCGTCTGAATATTGACGCCGAAATTATTCTCAAACACCCCGAACTAGATATCCGTCAAGACTTGATCGACTGCAGCATCGATATCTGCACCCCCGACGTGCTGAGCTTATGGTCGGACAGCTTCGATTACCAATCCCCGCGGAAACACTACTTGTTCGGTGTTTTGAAGGACTATGAGCTGAACGGCAAGACACTACACACATACATCATCAAGGACCACTACGCTGCGCGCGTGCGCAATCTGAAGGCCTACGACGCGATAAGCAAGGACATTCTCTCGCGCTGGACATATCCTTTGTGTCCGGATACAAACTTGCTCCCTGGTCACACGTACACCCTTCGTAAGGGTAGCATGTACCAAGAAACCGGGGTAACCCTGGCTCGCTCTTGCGTCATTGGGCGCCGCACAGTCATCGGAAAAGGCACTAGCATTGGAGATCGGGCAGAAGTTCACAACTCCGTGCTCGGTCGAAACTGTAAAATCGGCCGCAATGTCAAGCTGGATGGTGCCTATATTTGGGATGACGTTGTGATCGGCGACAACTCCGACGTCCGTGGGGCGATTATCGCCGATGGTGTGGTTCTCGGCAAGCATTGTACCATTGCATCTGGAGCGCTTATTTCCTATGGCGTGAAAATCGCAGATAATATCTGGGTGGAGAGTGGGAAGCGTATCACGAAAACTCGAAACGACGGCAGCGTGGGCAAGAACGATCCCGCAGTTGTTGGCGAAGGAGGCGAGGGCTATGAGTTCATTCACGGCGAGGAAGATGAGGATGAGGATGATGATGTGAGCGTAGCCTCATCGGGACTTGGTATGTTTTCTCCTAGTTTGTCTCTTCAGGTCCAGATTGCTAACTTTATGCCATCTACAGTGTACCGCATGCCCGGTCTCTCACTCTCTTCCGCCTCCATCTCAACACTGTCATCTGAAGTCTCGAATACCTCTTGGGCACGATCTGAGCGGAGCAGTTTCTCCGCAGACGAGGATTCAGACAACTTCCACCACGACGCATCAGTCAGCTTGTTCGACAGTCTACGTGAAGGCGTTGCAGCAGATGTGGTGCAGCTGGAGCTGGTCACGCTTCGTATGACTGCCAACGCCTCAGACAATCAGGTCCGTCGTGCCATCGTGACATCGTTCATGAAGCACATCCAGCAGCTCATGGAGAGTGGCAAGGGTGCCGGTCCGGCAGTTCTGTCGGTTTTCACGGCATACAAGGAGGTTGTTGAGCGCACTCTCTTCGATCGCAACAAGGAGCAGAAGAAGGACCAGGTTGATCTGCTGCTCGCACTCCAAAATGATTTGATTCATCGTAACAAGGGCGAGACCGTCCTTCTCTTTACTGCCAAGTCTCTATATGAACTTGAGCTCATCGAGGAGGAGGCTTACGACCAGTGGTGGAATGATGAGCGCTCTAGTAGCACCGAGGAGATGCGGGCCGTCCGCAGCCAGACCCAGCAATTTGTCGATTGGCTCGCCGAGGCTGAAGAGGAGAGTAGCGAGGAAGAATCCGAGGAAGAATCTGAGAGTGACGAAGAGTAGATACCACAAATATTTTCAATTAAATTCCAAATATGTCTTTCAATTTTCTCTATGAATCTATCCTGACTTACGTTGAAGTTAACATTAGAATCTTAGTTTGTTACTACAGATATACGCAAAAACCGCCATGGACGGAAGCCTACAGTTTTAGACAAACAAGGCTAGGGTCAAGCTAACAAGCGCCAATCTTAGAATGATTCATGTCTGAGTCAATAGGCTGAAAGAGGCCCCCCCCCCCGTGAGATACATCAGCTGATGTTTTTGACAAATTTTTCTATTTTCTATATTTTCTACTTTCTTCGTACAAATTTGTAATTAAAAATATCCCGAAGTACGTCCGTTGAAGCCCCGGTTCGAGCCGCCTTCGGGGCCTTTTGGAGATCTGACGCTTCCCCACTCCCCTCCGTCACAGGTTTTACCCAGTGACGTGTGGCTCCTTCAAACATCCCTTGTCGGCATTTTTTTGCCGCTACATTCACCACGCCTCCCATAACGCGAAAGAGAAAGGCGGCTGAGGCGATTGCGGACGAGCCACTGCCAAAAGCCGCCCACGGCGACCGGAAAGCCTCTTCCACCTCCCACCCCCACAAGTCAACAGCCACCGCAACAGAGAATACAGAGAGAGAAAGCCCTATCAGTTCCGGCTTGAAAGAGAAGCCCTCCACACCCACCACCGCCGCCAGCATGGACTCCGACGATGAGTTCCTGAGCGACGTCTCTAGCCAGGATGATTTCTTGGGTACCCAGGGCTCTGACGACGAGAGCTTAGGTGAAGGTGCGTACCCCTCTGGTCTTTGCGTCCCTTTTGTGTGTCTCTATCTTCAGAATGGTGACTAACAAGTTGTGCCTGGGAGAAGACTTCGATGATCTCGACGCCGGGTTTTCGGACGATAAAGACCTCATCAAACATAAAAAGAAGCCATACGAAGTCGAGTACAAGGTTCTCGACCCTCACGATATCGATCATGAACAGCTTGGCCAGGTTAACGAGGTTTGCGCCATCCTTGGGCTACCACCTGAGTCAGTGGCGATCTTGTTGCGGTTCGGCCGGTGGAACAAAGAAAAGTTGATTGAGTCATATATGGAGCATCCGGAGGAGACGCTAGAGGAGGCTGGTCTTGGGTCGAATTTTGAGGGTACCGCAAAGACTGAGATCGTCCCAGGCTTCATGTGTGACATCTGCTGCGAGGACGGCGACAACCTCGAGACGTATGCCATGCGTTGTGGTCACCGATATTGCGTCGACTGCTATCGGCACTACCTGGGGCAGAAAATTAAGGAGGAAGGAGAGGCTAGCCGAATCCAGTGTCCAGGCGATGGCTGTAATCGCATCGTGGACTACAAGTCACTGGATCTGCTTGTCACAAAGGAGCTTCAAGGAAGGTGGGTGTTTTATTTTTTGCAGGCCTCTAGGTGGAAGCGCTCGCTAACACATGTCTACAGATACCGCGAACTTCTAACTCGGACCTACGTTGACGATAAGGAAAACCTAAAATGGTGTCCAGCACCAAACTGTCAATATGCCATTGACTGCGGGGTAAAAAACCGTGATCTCCGTCGCATAGTTCCTACAGTGCGATGTTTTTGTAAGCACGAGTTCTGCTTCGGTTGTTCCCTCAGCGATCACCAGCCCGCTCCATGCACGTTGGTCAAGATGTGGCTACAGAAATGTGAAGATGACTCCGAAACGGCCAACTGGATCTCGGCAAACACCAAAGAGTGTACAAAGTGTAATTCGACGATCGAGAAGAATGGCGGCTGTAACCACATGACTTGCCGCAAGTGCAAGTACGAGTTCTGCTGGATGTGCATGGGTCTCTGGTCCGAGCATGGCACGAGCTGGTATAACTGCAACCGGTACGAAGAAAAGTCAGGCGCAGACGCTCGCAGTGCTCAAGCCAAATCGCGTTCCTCCTTGGAACGCTACCTGCATTACTATAACCGGTATGCGAACCATGAGCAGTCTGCCAAGCTCGACAAGGATTTGTACCTGAAGACCGAAAAGAAGATGACCAGCCTTCAGTCGCAGTCTGGTCTGTCCTGGATTGAGGTGCAGTTCCTAGACACCGCCTCGCAGGCCCTACAACAGTGCCGGCAGACCTTGAAGTGGACTTATGCATTTGCATTTTACCTGGCTCGCAACAACCTGACAGAAATATTTGAGGATAATCAAAAGGATCTAGAGATGGCCGTTGAGAGTCTCAGTGAGATGTTCGAGAAGCCAGTTGCTGAGTTGGCAGGGTTGAAAGTCGACATCCTGGATAAGACTGCTTATTGCAACAAGCGCCGGGTGATTCTATTGAGCGATACTGCTGAGAACTTGAAGAATGGTAAGTGGGGTTTTTAGATGTGGTTTCTCTTTCACTAGGTTCCTAACACGTGTTTTCTAGGAGAGTGGTCGTTTAACATTGAGTGGTAAATCACCACCCTAACCTCCGCCCTACCGTAGACTACGGAGATCTTGACGACCTGAACGACATCTGTTTCTTTATAAGAAGTTTCAGCATACTTTCCCCCCACCCCCCTCTTCCTCCACCCTTGACCCCTTAAGCCCTTGAGATCCTCGCCCTTGCACTGGTTTTGCGTCAGCAACGGTCTCATTATGCATCCATCCCTAGGGTTGAAATGGGCTTATTTTCGTTTCCTGATTTTTCTAATTACCTCGGACTACATGCATGTATCCTCATTTGATGAGGGCTTTCCTTTGGTGTTGTCATCACAGACCCTGTTTTCTCTTTCCTCATTGCCTTGAGTTTAGGCGCAACGGTTTTTTCAGAAATGATTATCTTTGGAGTTGCTATAACAGGCAGCTAGTAGTGACCTTCTCCCATTCAACGCATCCCTTCAAACATACCAGTACAGAGTAGTGGTATTGAGACTATGGAGTATAAGATTTTTCCATACGAAACAGGGCGGGGGGCCTCAACAGAATCGGAGCCAATATAGACCAGATGAGTTTAGTTCGCGGCTTGCAGTCCACACGGGCCTCGGCTTCTCCCAGTGGAAAGTCGCGTGTTCTGTTTGCTGTTTCTCCGATGCCAAGTTGAAAAGACGAAGTTAATAGTAGACAGATATCTAATATATGCAAGATGTAAGATAGAAGATACACCTACGTGTAAAGGAGATAACATTGAAAGAAGGTAGAAAATAAAATCCTTCTCGAAGCAGTCAAAGCTCCACTCAATATGAGTTAGGCGAAATGTGGTCAAGGGCGAACAGATGGCTTAAGGGGGTTTCTTATCAGATTGATAAAAGTTTGTACCAGTTATGTACCTGTACCGTGGTTGCTACACTATAAAGGTACCAGTATAGTACTTTGCATAAAAAGTGCTGGGATCAGTCCGTCATCGGAAGTCCCGGAGAGACAACTGAATTTGACATGGACGTTTATTCATGTGAGTTCCGAGGCATGGGGGTTTAAGGTGATTCTGAACATTGAATAGACATTCACACATTCTCTAGGATTACTTCAAAAATGAAGTAAGGAGAATAAACAACATTGAAAAATATAAGAATAAGTCCTCTGTAGAAGATAGTCGATAATAATGCAGTCAATATCCAGCCTGGGCAAGTCCGTGAATAATTTCCCTAGCGCCTTTTCCTGGTTTTTTGTCTCCAAACTAAATTTCCACTCATTTTCCTAGTCAATTATTCCTGTTAAGAAAGGAAAAAGGAAAAAAGAACTTCTAATTATTCATTGCTTCATTTCTCGCATTTTGTTGGCATTTTGTTTTGTTCTGTTGGCATTGTCCCTGTGTTCCTCGGGATCTCCACGGACAAGTCCCCGTTTATCTCGTCTTCACTTTTCCATTCTTCCACCTCCGTCAACCACCTCCCTTCCTCTCCGCCCGAACTCTTCATCTGTTACAGCTGCACCTTGAGCTAGCGGAAGCTCCATGGCGGCGTCCGATCAGATTCCCGGGCAGGAATTCGAGTATGTCGCTCTCCGATGGATTTTTTTTTCTCCCCAGGCAATCGGCCATCAGGAACGCTGGAAGCTGGAATGAGCACAGGGGCAAGCACATCTTATTTTCTGGTGATATGCTGTGTTCCAGCGATTGCTTGACTGTCCCTGTTGAGCATCCTGACTTTCTTCGCCCTGTCGCTTTGCGGGAATTATGTGACCTAAGCTAATGCGATACACCCTGTTTCAGCTATGAAGCCCTTCCTTCCAACTATGGCCTCAGCCGGAACATGCTAGCTGGTGCTTTCGCGGGGATAGCGGTATGCTTACATGGTTAGGGGTATGGGAGAGGATTTTTGGCTGATCGGATAAAAGGAACACTCGGTGATGTACCCTGTTGACTTGCTCAAGGTAAGCTTGATTTTTTGGGTTGAAGCAATTGGAAGGGAAAAGGATTGAGCGCTGACTATTTGAGTATCGCTAGACTCGCATGCAAATCTTGACCCCTTCAGCTGGCGGTCTCTACACCGGATTGACCAACGCGGTTTCTACAATCTATCGAGTCGAGGGCTGGCGGACACTATGGAAGGGAGTCTCGAGTGTGATTGTCGGCGCAGGTGTGTATATCGTGGTCCTGAGTAAGAAGACTCAATTCTGATGCGCGATAGGTCCCGCACACGCTGTGTACTTCGGGACATACGAGATCGTGAAGGATATGGCTGGTGGTAATGTCGACGATGGACATCACCCCTTGGCTGCCGGTAAGATTTTCGGACAAACTTTTGGATCGACTTTTTTTGTGCAACAACTGACGTGATAATCGTGCAGCTATGAGTGGAGCAGCCGCTACTATTGCCAGCGATGCGCTGATGAACCCCTTCGATGGTAAGTGACCCCGTGCAAGGCAATAAATTACGCCCAGCTAACTCGTTCACCAGTTATGAAGCAGCGCATGCAGGTTCACGGCTCAGTTCACAAGACCCTGGCGCAATGCGCCAAGACCGTCTACCGCACCGAAGGTCTCCAGGCCTTCTACGTCTCCTACCCTACCACACTTTGCATGACCGTGCCCTTCACGGCCACTCAATTCGTTGCCTACGAGTCGATCTCGAAGGTCATGAACCCCAAGGGTGATTATGACCCATTCACCCACTGCATCGCAGGTGGTCTGGCTGGTGCCTTCGCAGCTGGTCTTACTACCCCCCTTGACGTCGTAAAGACACTCCTTCAGACCCGTGGCCTTGCAGAGAGCGAGGAGGTGCGGTCTGCCAAGGGTCTGTTTAACGCCGCTGCCATCATCAAGCGCCGATTTGGCTGGTCTGGCTTCCTGCGTGGCATGCGCCCTCGTATTATTTCCACTATGCCGAGCACTGCAATTTGCTGGTACGTCCCATTATGAGACTCGGTTCTTTCGATATTGAATATTCACTGACTGTCTTTTTCCAGGACATCCTATGAGATGGCCAAGGCATACTTCAAGAAGCACCTCGACTAAAAGCACTGATTCGATCCTCTCCCACGGCTGCCATGGGTTCTATCGACCATTCCCGATGGACCTGCTACTTGTTCGATATACCACGTTTGTGTGGGCACCATATAATCTTTCTTTGATCTCTTGGGCGACATGGGTCTGTTCTTTTACAATATGTTCTGGGTTTGGGTAGGCTGGGTGGAGCCCAGCAACCTTCCTTGTGGCGCATCCTGGGCCAGAGCCCGAGTTTCGATCTTCTTGCATGTTTAGGGCTTTTTTATGAGAAGCGTTTTCCGCAATGTATAGTTTTGGAAAAACGGGGACACGGCCACTTTCGACTTCGGAGATTAAATCTGGTGCTGTTTTTTTCTTCTCCTTTTTGGATTCTTCGATGCTCTCCATTCGATGTGTCCTATACTGTGACCGGCGTTGGAAAAACCTCGGGTTTTCTTTGTTTTTGGTTTCTTTTGAGAGGGCTGGGTTCTCTGTGGCATCACTATAACTTCTGTTTTTTTTTAGGATCTTGCATGTACCCATAGATGTGAGGAATGTTAGAGATGATGACCATCTTAATTGACTATAAAAATTCCCAATACAACCTTACATAGTACACTGGCCGCATGCAGTAAACTCCCCGAACCGACGACGTCACGCGAAAAATCCTCCCCCCTCATCTGCGGGAGATCATCGCTTTCACCAACTCCACCAACTTGTCGTGAAATGGATTCAGGCGGGCCTGATTATTCCCAATGATGCGTCCACGGCCTGCGTCTTCCTTGCAGAAGACGTACGACGATTGCTATCTCGCGTGCTCCACCGCCGTGTACTTTGAGGGCCAAGTAAGTCCACTAGTTCCGACACCCGTTGCCCGAAGCTCATTATCTTAGAACAATGAGGAGGAAGCATTGCGGTCCTGGAGATCTGCCCTCGAGACTATCTATCATCACAATGCCCGCCGTGTGCCCTCAAACTATACTCCGAAATCCGAAACAGAGAAAGCCCTGCAGGACTCCATTCGGGCGCTAGAGGTTCAATGCCGAGAACGGGTCGATCTACTAAGTGCTCTCCAAGCAAGCAGGAAAGAATCTGCAGAGACAAATGGCAATAAAGAGAAGGCTACTCTAGTCAAGGGCAAATCTGTCCCCAGCATACCTTCCCCGTCACCTTCGAACACTCCTGGATGGATCGGAGATGGAACAATTCCTGCCGTGGGCTACACCGACCTTTCCAAACCAGCCACCATACCTGGCCGCCATGGGCTGCCGACGAAACAAATTCATGGTTCGCCGCCACTTAATGATGATGCTGGTCCAGCGACCCTATCGGCGGCTAGTACACCTGCACTGCGTGTGAACTCCAACTCTTCGGACAAAGCGAAGTCGCGTGGCTCCAGCCCCGAGCGCCGGAAACCCATGTTGACAACTCTGCGCAGCAGTGACGCCAAGAAGAATGGCAAGAAAGTCAAGGTAGCATCAAAAAAGAAGGATATGAGGCCTGCTGCCTCCACGGCTGCGGGTCTAGCATGGGGTAGCATCTATCGCCCTTCATTGGGCGAGAAGCCTGTGAGCGATGCGGCTCTGGTGTCATCCCGGCAAAGCGCCGCTGCCCATGATCTCAGTTTCCGCCGAGAGTTAGAACCAAGACCTAGTTCTAGGGATGAGTCTCGGCAGGCGAGAACTCGCAGCCCCCGAGACCACCTAACCGGGGACTCAAGTCCTGCTGCCCGTTTCCGAGAGCCTGCTCGTTCGTCTCCGAAGAGGTCCTCCCCTAGACCACCTACTCAGTCTCCTAGTGCGCTGCCACCGCGGGTGTCTCGACCTCCACTTGGCAGCCCCAAACTACAACATCCTCCTCATTCAATGTCCATGCCGAACCCGGATGACTTCACGACACCTAAACCATCCATCAAACCCAAGCCCGTGGCCTTGCGATCTTCCCATGAACCGACAAGCCAGCCAATGCAAACCACCAAGTCCGAGAATACTTCAAATAGTTCTCGGAATCTGACGCCTCGGCTTGGCCGTCAATTAAGTTCTTCCATCGATATGCCGCGGACAAGCTCTGCGCCTAGATCTCCCAAGATTGGGGAAAGGGCCCGCGGTTCTCCATCATCCGCTAGCGGGGACGATCTTCATCGCGGTGTCGACCGGCTCGCTATATCTCAAAAGAATAGTCCAATACGGCGCAAAGCCCCACCAGTCCAACAGCGAGAGACACCATTGTCAAGCGACCATGAGTCTTCAGATCAACCGACCATAGCAAGCGAGACAGGGGACGAAGATGAGGAAGAAGACAGTGAAACCTTGAAGATCATGGAAAAATTGCCTAGGGGTGTGGATCCCCAGTCAGCAAAGCAAATCCTGAACGACATCGTAGTACGCGGTGACGAAGTGCACTGGGACGACATAGCAGGATTAGAAGGAGCCAAAAAGGCCCTCAAAGAAGCTGTAGTCTACCCGTTCCTCCGTCCGGACCTCTTCTCTGGTCTCCGTGAGCCAGCTCGCGGAATGCTCCTCTTCGGCCCCCCAGGCACAGGCAAAACCATGCTCGCACGAGCAGTAGCCACAGAATCAAAGTCAACCTTCTTCTCCATCTCCGCCTCCAGTTTAACATCCAAATGGCATGGTGAAAGCGAGAAGCTCGTGCGCGCCCTTTTCGGGCTCGCCAAAGCCCTCGCTCCATCCATCATCTTCGTCGACGAGATCGACTCCCTCCTTTCTGCTCGATCATCCGGCTCAGAGCACGAGGCCTCCCGCCGCTCCAAGACTGAATTCCTGGTTCAATGGTCTGATCTCCAGCGTGCAGCTGCTGGCCGCGAACAAACAAGTCGCGAGAAGAAAGAAGGCGATGCTAGTCGTGTACTCGTTTTAGCGGCGACCAATATGCCTTGGGATATCGACGAGGCTGCACGTCGCCGCTTCGTCCGTCGCCAGTACATCCCCTTGCCGGAACACCATGTTCGCGAGCAGCAGATACGCAAGCTTCTCAGTCACCAGCACCACGAGCTAAGCGATGCTGATATCCAGGTCTTGGTACAGGTGACAGAAGGTATGTTGCTTTCTCCCCTGCGTTCCTTTTTTTTTGTATCTTTCTTATTAACATCTGCCAGGCTTCTCCGGTTCAGACATCACAGCGCTTGCCAAAGATGCGGCCATGGGTCCCCTACGCAATCTGGGTGAGGCCCTGCTACATACACCCATGGACCAGATCCGTGCCATTATATTCCAAGATTTCGAAGCAAGTTTGTATTCCATTCGACCTAGTGTATCCACCGATGGACTCAAGAAATATGAAGACTGGGCTAAAGAATTTGGTGAGCGTGGCGGATAGAATAGATTTGGATTCACTAATCTTGGACTTCTTTTGGTTCTGCTCTGTCTCTATTTGGTTCCCTCTTGGGTTATCCTTCTATCCTCCTTGTGTGTGGGGACTTTGTATTTTTTTGTACGATTATGGGAATGGAAAAGTGATTCTTTCACTGCTCTTCATAACCTTGTTTCTTAACTATGTAACATATTCCTATGTCAAAGCCTGTCTCTCTGTGGCATCTGGGCTTGGGTAAATCTACATAGTAGATTTAGATTACTTAGTTCATACTAATAAACCGAATCCCGAGGCTGTCGGGGCCGTATTTTGATTTGGGTTGCCTATTGGGGCCGGAGTTTGTACATGCTAAAATATGGACACAAATCATGGCTCAGTCACCATTAGACTAGACACAGCAGCCGGTCGAAATGAGAAAACGGGAGTCGGAGGTCTATCTGCGTCCTAATAGATCTTCAGTGGATATCACAGCCTAGCGCAAAGCTAAAAGCGCCCAAAAATTAGAGTTGTGGGGTATAGCTGCAGGTACATTTAGAACTGTACAGGAAATATATCAACTCAACAACACTCGGATCTCCCCTGTCGTTCGAGGGAACAACGACCTCAAAGTCCATTGTTCACCTCCCTCTTCGGCCTCTTCGTCCTTCTCGCCCGCTTCTGTCTTGCCATCAGATTTACCACTTTGGCCACTAACGCTACCCCCGGTTCCAACCGTCACATTCACAGTTCCTCGGGCCTCGTCCGCGGCAATGATCATCCCTTCGATGAACTCGAAATCACGGCAGAAGGCCTCAACTGCATCCTCGGTGACGCTCTGAATAAGGGAAAGGCTTTGGACACGCTTCAGGTTATCAGTTGCGTCCATAAGTGCAGAGGGGAGGAAGTCATCGAGTGTTTGACTAGATGTAATCAAGGACTCTGGTTGGAAGGCTGGGAGATTGGCCAGGTCAGCTAGATGAGGTTTCTGCTGGTCCGGCGTCTCGGTCTTGTCTTCGGTGGTGTCGGAGAAAGGTTCCAGTGCTGCTAAGAGCGTTTGAAGACCAGAGGTCTCGAGGAGGAATTGGTGTTGGGTGTCGAGAAGATCGCTGCGTAGGGTTGATAGGGCTGCAGAAATGGGAGGCACGTGTGTGGAGCTGGCAAAGGGGAATGGTGCCACAGCTGCACGGGCAGTAAGGAGAACATTGGTACGGTAAATGGACTGCGCTGTGGTGGTTTGCAGTTCATCGGATGAGGACCGGGCTAGTGTCAAGAATGGATCAAAGGCCGCCCGGAGGACAGAAGTGAACGGGTTCTCGTTGTTCACATCTGGAGATGAATCCTCTGGTCCGACAGAGGCCTCATAGGTCTTCATCAACAATTCCAGGTCTTCCAATGCATCTAACAAGAACTGTGGGGGCGACAGGTCGTCTGGTGGAGTGAGGGCAATACTGTCGCCCGCCAAGACGCTGATCTGGTCGCGCATCAAAGTCTCAAAGTGGCCAAGAGTGAACTTTTCCAAGGTCTGGATTAGGTCCACCAAATGGGATTGTGCGCCCACTAGTTTGGTGAAGGTTGTGCGGTAGAAAGACAACAGGTTAACCACCTTGTAGCAAGTGACAGGGTCATCATGGCTCTGGATGACGAGCTCTATTCTCTGCCGCAGTGATCGAGCCACTCCAGTAAGGTCGCGGTTGACCAAGTCACTAAGGGCCTTTTGGCCATCAAAGGTAACCTCTTGGTCCTCATCGATACGCGACCAGGGCTCACTGTTCAGGCCGGCTTGGATCCCCCGAGCGAGTTCATCCCCGTCATCGACAAACAATGACTCAAGAGCCTCTCGTTCTGATACGGTTGTCGAGTGCACCCACGCAAGCATGTCGCCAATGTACCGCAGTGGGTCATGCGCTGAGAACTCAATCGGTTTGACAGTATGATCACCGGCGCCGGGCCCATTGGACCCGGAAACGGCATCAGTCAGTGCATAGTGGAAAGCATCAGACAGCACATAGTCTCGTGCCTCCGCAAAGAAATCCAAACAGTTGTGGAATAGACTTGGGCGTTCTGCCAGCACCCGTAGAGCGCGGCGGATCGTACTGCTGATGCGAGGGTCCTCTAGATTCAGGGACCTGAATTCTTTCTGGATCCACCGGTATAGTTTCTGGTATGCTGAATTGAGATTCCGAGTGCTCAATTCCATCAACTCCAAGCCCAGTCGCTGATTCTCGCCGCCAAGCAAGACTTCGCAATCGTGGTGCACTTGCTTGACACGAGCTAGCACGTCAAAGAACCGCTCGTCAACAGGCTCCTCGGCCGATGTCAGGACCAATAGATCCTCTTCCGGAACCAAGAAATGCTTCGAAAAGGCTTCTAATAGCTGTTGCTTGGTCTCGGTCTCTTTCTTTTGTGTTATTAGGGTACTGGCCTCCTCGAGTACCGGCATGGTATCCTGCTTTGCGAGGTTGATTCGTTTGCGCATATCGTCGCATGTCTGATTAAGTGTCGAGACAACCGTTCCGATCCGTCTCAATTGCTATTATGGCCATTAAAAATTAGAATTCCAGATCCCTATCTCTAAAGGATCAATAGGAGTCTCACCTCTGCCACTTTCCCAAAGTCCTTGACAATCTCCGCATTGCAATCGACAACTTCTTTTTGCACATCTAGTCGTAATTGCCGACGTGTTTCTGCAGTGTTGTGAATGCCCCTCAAGCTCAAAGTCTCGAGGGAGTCCCGAATGTCCGAGTCCGCATACGATGCCGACAGAACTGTTGTCAGCCGATTGGTGAGTGCGGTCGGGCGCTGCGTTGACGGGGACAATGGAGATGATGGGGTCGGCATATTGGCGCCATTACTGGCGCTGCCGCTCGATGGAAAGTAGCTGGTCATTGTTGTTCAAGCAACCCAGCGGAGAGTCGGCGAGGGGAAGTAGAGGACAACCGCGCACTTAGCGCATCGACCGCCTTTGCCGTATCTTATCGTCAACACAATGCTTTATTTGTTTTCCCCTCCTGATTTGTCTCACTTCATTCATTTCTGGAATTGTATTGCTACCTGATCCCATGGATAGTCCACTCGTTTCGCCGGCTAAGGCCCGCCAAGCTGCTATCCAAGCCAAAGATTGGGCGTACGTGAACTCCTGGCTCAATCGACAATACGCGCCCAAACCGGTCCCCAAGTTCGAGCGCAATGAAAATACACTCCGCGTCCTCCTGACCCTAGCTGCAGCCAATGATGCTGCAGACGAAGAAGCCGCTCTACAACAGCGAGCGCACGAAGAGGCTGTTCAGGCATACAAAATACGGGAAGAGTTCGAACGCAAAGATCCCCACGAACAACAGAAGAACCAACTGCTTGATGAAGTCGAGATGTGTTTGGATGATACAGGAAGATGCGATCTAGAGGACCTCGCCGACTCCGCCGTAGCTCTGGGCAATACTTTGGACCCGAGCCCGGGGGATCTGGGACAGTCGATTGTGGAGCTCACGGTGGAGGAGTTTGAGGCCCAGGAACAAATTGCAAAGGTCGACACATTGCATAGTTATCTCCAGCGAGAGCTGGCACGATTACAAGCGGAATTTGAGGAATTGAAGACCGATGTGGCATATGAAACACCTTCCGATATACAAAGCTTAACGTCTGAGTGGACACGCGGCACGAAGACACTTGCGATCAAAGTCGGGGAGTACCAAGATCGTATTACATCACTGGAAAAGATTCAGCCCCGGGGGCCGACTATTGAGGAGCTGATGGCGGAGGAGGAGAATGTTATCAGGATGCGGGAGACGGTCAAGGCGCTGCAAGGCCGTGTGAGGGCGTATCATGATCTTCCCAAGGATACCCCAGGAGCACGGACAAAATACAAGGAGCTAGAGCGCGAGTTGGGACAGCTAAAGCGACAACGAGACTCAATAGTCGGCAGTATAGATGAGCGGTACTAATGCCACATCCTTTGGCGCTCAGAGGGACTACTGTCAGTGGTTGGCTTTCATTTCTAATCGGTTCATTTGGCTCCCAGTAAGGCTGGAAAAATTCTTGCAGGATCCAAAGACAGTTGAACAGATCTTTAAGCTAAATATTAGCCTTAGCCTTCTTGTTACAGTTGTTACACACTCTCTGTAGAACTACCTTCCTCTTACAACATTTGGTCTACATAATGAAAATTGCTTCCCTTGGAAAATGTGATGAATTCGAAGAGTGTGTCCTCTGGCTATTTGGAAAAAACGTAATTGGTATCATGGATTCGTGAGTCTTGATTGCAGGGCGACCATAATGATGATCACTCGCCTAAGGATGGCCATCTTAGTTGCCGAGGCCGAGAGCACCCTTGACCTTATCACCACTAGAAAGTATGGTTAGAATATGACTCTTTGGTTCCAAGAAGAGTAACTTACATGGAGCCGGTGGCACCACCGTGGCCGTGATTGTCACTGGCACGCTGAGTCTTGTCAAAGGCCTCTTGGCCAATACCCTTGCTATCATCGGTCTGCAAGCCACGGCTAGCGCGGTCACTAGTATCGGTGACAGTCTCCTTGAGCTTGTCCTGGGTAGACTTGGTGGAGTCGGGGGTGAGCTCCTCCTTGGCCTCTGTAGGAAGAAGTAGTCAGTAACGATGTCTTGACATCTTGACAGGAAGGTAAAGTAGTGTCACATACTGGTGCTAAAATCTTTGCGACCGATATCAGACATGATGAATATTGATTGAAATTTGGTGGTTGGGAGGAGAAGTAAACTGTGTAGTTCAATTGAAGTAGAAGATGTTGGGAAAAAGAACAGCTAAAGAGGCAAAGAGGGGAGTTTATATAGATTTGTTTGCCCTCGTCGCGAGCTCATAAAGAGAGGCAACATGACGTCGTTTGCTGTCGTGATTGACTTGCTTTATTCACAATGGACGCCAACTAGGTAATGTGTGTACAGATCTATTTCCAAGGCCGGGACCCCAGACTAGCCACAATCTCCAATTTAATAACAGTTCCTCCAATCAGCATACTTCCTGTCTGTAGATGACCTTTCACTACGTACAGGCTGTGGCATCCAATGGATTTTCCAGGCTCTCCCAGTTTCTCCAGAGATGACATCATGAGGATGTTGAGGGCCAAGGCTTCAAGTGTAAAATCACATGATGCTTGGCTATCATATCTTCCGTATTCACGTGATATGACATAATCCCTACCCCATATTCGGTCAACTAAGCCTAATTGGGAACAAACAAATAAGGCGGTCAAGTATACCTGGCAGAATCACTCACCGTCTCTGTCGCCCTGCCTGGGCATCAACTTTAGTCAGTCGTCCATCAACTTGTTTGCTTTCATCCCTCATTCTTTCGTTCTGACTCACCATGTGGATAAGATTCGTTCTTCTTCATGCATTGTCATCTCATTCTCCGTGACTATTTGAATTTATCGGACTCTCATTTGCTACCATCCAAACTTCAACACACGAACCCGTTACACACCCGTCACACCTATCTCATCTAGCCTCCAATGCTCACGCCGGATTCCCCTGTCTCTTCAAATTGGGACTTTACCCCAGTGCATGACTTACTACGATCGCCCATCGAGGGCTGCACTACGAGGCCTAGTCGCCACAATGAAATTGCACTCCCCTCACCTGATGAACAACAAGCCAAGGATGACCCCCGTTACACAACTAATGGCAGGCTTATGGATCCTATCTCTCAGCGGAGTAACCCGAAGCTTGGTGACTTTGGCTCTCTTTGGGATATTTTTAACGGAAGCCCTGCTCCCACGAGAGTCACGCCCACATTAGAAACCACAAAGACCACCAAGCTTGAGCTGGAGAAATTTCAGCCATCGCTCGAAGAACTACCCTCTAGCTCAACGGAAAGACCCGTCAAAAGGGTCTCATTCTCTGGCCTGTATGACATTAAAACATCCGTCCCCGCTCCATCCAATACCTCTCGCATTACCAATGAGCCAGTCTCTCAGGTCCTCAAAGACACCACTGGTTATATCTCCCATTCTTCTTCTCCTCCAAATGCGCGCGCGACAGATATTCCTATCGATTTTGAGGGTCAATCGTTCACTATCTTGAGGCGGACCTCGGGCCGTGACCCCTCTGGAACGAGTGCCAATGTGAAATTTGGTGTCCGTGGTCCACAAACCCCTCCTGTGGCGATTGTTAGACCTAGAGTTGGTGATCCAAGTGATACTCCCACAAAAACTAAGACTCGATCTCGTGGAAAAGATATCCGAAAGAACACGCGCAATAACCCAATCACCTCCGAAGAAAGTGCCGGGCTAGACTCAGACACAAGTATTGTGTTCGATCATCCCATTTCTGAGAAACCTGTGGCTTTTTCATTTATCCCATCTCAAGTCCATGCGCCTGGAGCGAAAACTTGCACTTATGAAACCCCACCGTCATCGTTTGACGATAATGACTGGATACTGAATGCCAACGCCATCCGAGGACATACTTCGAGCGGTACTGTGCGGTCTACCCTGCACCGGCCGGCCGAGGAGCGAAGAGTCATCTTGATGACCAGACTCCTCGGTCACTTCCCTGCGTACGCAAAAATCGTGTCTCAAGTGGGACTGGCTTTAGATCATCGTCCCGATGATGGTATTGGCTCACGTCCCATTCATGTCTTTGTTGACATGTCAAATGTGTGTTTCCGTCTCGCCCTCTGCCCAACCCTTCTCATACTAATTCATCTCAGATCATGGTTGGATTTCACGATTCAGTAAAAGCCTCGCGAAATATCCCTCTCTCAACCCGAATTCGTCGTGTCCATATGTCATTCGCTAACCTCGCATTGATCATGGAACGCGGCCGCCAGGCCGCCAAGAGAGTCTTGGTCGGCTCAGATCGCCTCCCGTCGGTTGACGAAGCCGAGAGACTCGGCTACGAAGCGAGTATTCTCGAACGTGTGCACAAAGTAAAGACCACAACACCCCATCGCAACCATAAGTTCCGGAAGAATCCTGGCTCTAGTTCCCAGGGGGCATCCAGCGGTCCTGAAACGGTCGCCGCCTCTGGAGAGCGATGGGTTGAGCAGGGTGTGGACGAAATTCTACACCTAAAGATCCTGGAGAGCATCTTGGATACAGACCCCCCGGCAACGATTGTTTTGGCGACAGGTGATGCGGCAGCGGCTGAGTTCTCCGGAGGTTTCATGAAGATGGTCGAGCGCGGGCTACAGCGCGGCTGGAGTGTCGAGCTTGTCAGCTTTTCTCAGGGCACTAGCTACGCATACCGGAAGAAGGAGTTCCGGATTCGGTGGGGAGACCAGTTCAAGCTGGTTGAGCTAGACGGGTACCTAGAGGAGTTATTTGAGTAAATGGTGAAAACTCCGCTCTCTAATAACGGAGATTCACTTTGCCATTTGAATTTTAAATGAAATGAAGACACAGCTATCATGACTCAAGTTCCTAAATGTCTGACTCCAAAGTCGCTTAATATGTATTTTGTAGATTGAGTCAACACCCCGCCAAACCACCAAACGTCATTGGACGGAAAACACCCGCCCGCACTGTTGCCTCATGCATGACTGCTCGTCTACCTAAACGGATTCTCTATTCTGGAACTATATATTCACTGTTAATCTGTGCTACTCTCCAGTATTACCTGTCTTCTTCTATACTGTTGAACCCCAAGCAAAAAGGCATCGGGGAAAAACTCCGCAATTTGTCTCGAAGAATTTGGATTTGAATTCGATCTTGCACAATCAGCAGAACATCCTTTCAAAAAGAAAAACGCAAGAAAAAAAAAAGATCAAACCCTTTCGTCTTATAACACATATCAACTCCATCATGTCTCAATTCACAGAGCAAGAGTTCTTTGGCGGAGCCATTCGAGGCGTCGTGCCACAAGGCTGGATTGATTCGAGGTTAGTATACAACCCTTTCTATGCATCAAATTCTTATTGTATTACCTCACTCTATTCCTCACCCCATCCCGAAACATCCCAATCAAAAAAAGATCCCCCAACTAACGTCAATCCCAGCACCCTGCGGGAGGTCCCCGACCACCAAGAGCTATGGCTCTCACCAACCACCCTCTCCAACGTAATCATCGAAATCAACCAGCGTGTCCCACAAGCCGAAGCTCTAAACACCTTCGCCACGCTCAACCACCAACAACCCACCGCCGCCCCAGGCAGCGGTAGCGCAGCACCCGCAACCGCAGAAACAGTCGACCAAGCCGCAGCCCTGTACCACCTGCACGATCTCTGCGATGAAGGCGACACCATGCAGGTGATCAAGTCTCCCACGCGCGTCGAAGTCCAGCTTGCTTCGTCCTCGCCTACCCCCGCTTCCGCTATCAAGGCGTATCGCGGCGTTGTCTCTTTCACGACGCCGGTGCGCGGTAGCGGTGCCGGACGCGTCCCTGCGTCTGCTGAGGGGTCTGCTGCTGGTGTTGCGGATGCCGGGGTGCTTGGTGCGCAGATGAATGGCGATTCTAATGGTTTGCCGCAGGTTTCCAGGTTGACGTGCCACTTCTTGCTTGTTAGGCTTGAGGCGCAGGAGACGGATTTGTTGGTCTTCTTTAATGTGCCTCATGAGGAGTTTGATAAGAATGGGGATCCCAGGGGCTTGTCTGTTGAGGAGGTTCTGGCTGAGGAGACTATTGGGGCTTTGCTTGGGAAATTGGAGATTTGTGATTGGGGTCTCTTTGTTTAAGCGTTTTTTTTTCCATATGGATTTGGATGACACATGGTGGATTGGGATTGGGATTTTATTGGGAGGATATGGCTATAATGGCTGGTTGGGATATGGAAGTGCCATTTGCGCTTTACGAGTAGATAAATCAAATAAATCAACAGTTGACTTGCAATATCTCCCGAGGTCTTATTTTTTTAAGGATTACACAAGCGTGTGTTAATCTATACATAAATAAAAACGTGTATTGTGGTATAGTGCTATGTAGTAAAGTTTCTATAGATCTAGTCATTTTATAGTCAGTGGTTTTCACATATCCATCATGGGCATTGCAGTCCATTCGGTGGATTCGTCTGCGGATTCTTCGGAAACACATCGTTCACACTGGCACACAAAACGGAACGATTTTCGGAGATGCTCGCGACGCGAAGTAAGATCGGTATATTGTGTCAGGTCGAAGTACGAGATGCAGCATTCCTCGCCCGGAAAAATGTCGCGGGAGGCGGTAAAAACCATGCGACCTTTGTCATCAGCTTTATGGATGATCTTGCGGTGTATTAGCATTACTTTCGCAATTTCAGGTTTCGGGGGAAGATGCCCTACATTTGGCAAACATGAATGATTAGCAATTGCCGCAGTGGGATAAACAGCCGCAGCAAATTGCTCCCCTCTGTCGACAGGAGGGTTTGGCACGGGAAAATGACCTGTTTCTCGTGGATAAAGCCCAAATGAGTTTGCCTCTTCCTGACAAATGAGATGAAGAACACGGTCTGCACTCATCTCATGGGGAAGAGTGGAACTGCTCCGAAGATACTTCTTCACAAGAGTAGACCAAGATCGGACCTTGTCATGGGGCCAAGTATCCTCAGAACCACAAAGCGATTCAATTCCACTCCAACCATGCTTCCAATGTTTCGTCGACTCGACAACACCAGCCAATGTCCGCTCAGATAATTGACAATGTCGCGCAGCAAGCAGCCGAAGAATCATCCAGAGCATGCCGAAATCATATTCACCCCATTTAGATCGAATAGTCCCGGCATACCGTTTGAGCCAAACGCATTCAAAGTCATGTCGAAGACTATCTGCGTCGCGGCATATGTTGCCGCACCACGCCACATCCGGGATACAGGCATTCGGACATGAAGTCCGGGTGTGGCGAGGCGCTGGTCGATTACATGCGGGATTGCTGCAGATGAGCTTGTCGTTGTGGGCGGGTTCGTCGACGACGGGAATGACTGCGTAGGGGGAATCGACGAGGAGACAGGCGCCTTTGGGGATGGGACCGGTGACACGAAATTGGCGGCCTTTGATCGCGTCGACGCTTTCGATTAACTGCGAGTGGATCCAATCGGGCGTGGTGATTCCTTCTACACGAATCCGGTCTGAGGGTTCTGTGGCGATATATACGAGTTGAGACATGATGCTTTGGGGTATGTCTAGGCTTACGAATTCGACAAATTCTTTTTTGCTCAGGAACCAAGTCTTGGACTGTGGGTCTTATTCGCCTCCCGGATGTAAGGTGAGGCTATCCAAGCGACTACCAGTGATTGGGGTCCCACATAGTATATAGATTCGTCTACCTTATTGGTTCGTCTTGGGTTTTAGCGAAGTAGTTTAATCGATCCACTTTGGCATAGCTATCAGACTTATTCCCGCAAAGGTTCAGTTATTTTCCTGCCATCTAAATCCAAGTATCAGAAAAAGGTTGACGAAGAAGGACGCTTGAATACCTGTTTCTACATCCTGTGCAACAATAAAAGATAGTACTTCCTTCATCAGCACTTCGAAGTTGCGCCTCAGTCCAAGCCACTTTGGGATTCGAGCACTGGGGACAGCGGTGTAGCCTGATGTCCCCCTGCGTATCCCTCCCAATCCCCTCAACTTCAATGCATTGTCTCATATTCCATTGGTTTCCACATTCATCTTTTCCATCTCTTTGGTGCACCAGCTCAAGTGCCCAAAGATCCTCCAATATACATCATCGGCCGCATTCTTTCCAACAATAGGATCAAGATGCCCGTACCCGTCGACTAGAAATCTGCGATAAAGTTTCTCACCAAATTTTCGTCGCAACAACTCATAGTCCTTGAGGGTAGTCTCGGGATTGAATACTTGGTTATCCATACCCGAGACAAAGAGAATGGGTAGTCCTTGCAGCCGTTGCAAGTTCTCGGCTGTCAGAAGAGGACGTGAATCATTATCCATGCAGACTCCCCGAGTTCCGTTGCGAACCACTTGCTTCATAAGCTTTGTATGGGTCCCCGCGACAAATTGGTGGATATTTTCATGAAGACCCTTGTCAAGATTCTCGTGATTCCATAGCAACCCAAAAGCGAAAGATACCCGGCGGCACGCTGTAGACGTGCAGACGTCTCGTGTGTGTCCAACAGGATAGAAACGAAGGAGAGTGTCGAGTAGTTGTTGGAAAAGAACACTCTTAGCATTGCTGACAGCCGGGAAGTAATTCCCAGCCATGTATTCGTAAAACTGGACCAGCAGAGTCGTTCCTCCTTTGAGGGAGTTCCAATATCCAAAGACCTGGTTCATGAAGACTGAGCTGGCAGTCATGCCGAGAAGTTGGCTACCCTGGATAGTTCCATCCAGTAGTCCCATGCAGAGAGCCACCGAACCTTGGCAATGGGCCATCACATAGGGCTTCTGTCGATCTTGCTCACGGATGTATGCTATCGCAGCAGCAATGTCAAGGCGGGAGTCGAATACAGTGCAATTTTGGGCAACGGCGTGATCGCAGCTCCAACGAGGAGTGAGTACGTAGCATCGGTGTCCACGCTGCGTGAAATATTCAACCATGTTACAGCGCAAAAATGGCAGTGAATATAGATTGTGCACGCTGATCCCGGTGACTCCGGGTAAAAGCAGGACTGGTGGAAGGTTGGACTTGGGTTCCAGCTTGTCTGTCTTTTGGACAGGGAGTGGATCATACATAGCAAGGTGTACCTGGACACCATCACTTGCGGTGATCTTGGACGATCTGGAAGGAGGTTTTTTTGGAGGAAGCTGTTTTGAAGGCGGCTGGTTTGAATCGGTGGGTTTGGCTGAGGTCCGAGGGAAATGTATATGGACGAAAGGGCGAAAGAAGAAGAGACTGATATGGTACATAAAAGAAGCAAAAAACATCATCAAAGTCAAGATCAGACGGAACTGGAAGTCGGATGTCGTCCGAAATGTTCTTATCTGCTTTTTGAAGTCTGGCAATGAGATATGAAGGGCTCCTGCTCCAATATTTTTCCCGTCCAGTCGAGTGATACTGACGTTCACTGTAGTTGTCGCTTCCCATGTCTTGCTGGCGGAGAATGAGATGTTTGAGTTGATGAGCTTGTGACCTTTGAGGCGGTACTCTATGCCCTCCACCGAGAGGAGCCTCAGGTTATATGAAATGGCTGATGATTCAGCCTCCTCTTCCATTGGCGTGAAAAAGTCCACCTTCCCATCGACAATCTTGAGCGTGGATTTGGATAACGCGTGGCAAGAAATCGTCCCGGTGCATATTCCTTGGTATCGTGAATCTGAACATGTGAGCATTCCACTACTAGAGGGTTCTCTCGATTTCTTACCTCCTCGGCAGAGTTCGACCGTAAGAAACATGCGCATCGCGCAGGATGAACCCTTTCGTACCCTCTCAGAGAGTTCAAAACTTTCGATCTTCGACCCTATTCTAATGTTCCCATGCATGGTCTCTGTGAATTGCCATCCTATGGACTGGGGTACTTTCTTGGGACCGTCTCGATCCTCCTGGCGATCCCATGACACACTAGGCTTGCTGTAGGCATTCAAAGGCTGATTTTTAGTCTCAAGGTCAATTGAAAATCCAGACCTCTCGGCGAGTAGATTAACGCATCGCTCAGAAAGGGCAGATATTGTAGCCAGCGGGTTCACACCTGTCGGAATCAGTACATAGCAAGCCATAAATAATAATTCTTTTTGGCATACCTATGGCTGTCGGGATAATAGATGCATCACAGCACACAAGACCTCTGTATACTTCACCATTAGAGCCACTAAAGACCTCTCCTAAATGATTTGTGACGCCTCCGTGCCCTGTTCCATCGCTGCTCATGTTGGCTCCTCCGAGGAGATGGACTGTAATTTCCTCCTGGTGGCGACCTTTGGCTATGTTTAGCATAGCTTTATAGTAACTTTGCTTGGTGCTTACCGTAATGGTATGAGAATCCCATCATTGCTCCTGTGCGAGAGAAAAGGTCCTTGAAGACCTTCCTTATCCCTCCAAAATGCTCCGATCGTCCTTCTGCTGGTCCCCGCAGATACAATTGATCACCCTTCAAGGTCAACGTTGCCTCGTTGCTGTCATGAGACATTACAAGATAAGTTGATGTCCGCTGAAGAGCCCCATTGTGTGCATATGGACCGAAGAGGAGAGACCTAAGAGAGGCAATGATCTTTCTGGTTTGTTCGCGAGGGTTAAAAAGACAGCACAGCGCCTGACTCTTCATGGTCTGCAGGGTGAGCATGATTTGGATTATTGGGTTGAACATCTCAGGAATGCATCCATCTTGGATAACAAACCCAGACAGGGGATTTTTCAGAGGATCAGCCACTCGGTTATCAATCATCGCAGTAACGGTTGGTCCAGGGGGAGCATGCGAAGATTCACGGGCGATCCCGTTGATATTGGCACCTCCATTGTAACCTTGAATCTGTAAATCAAACGTGCTCGTTTTTATATTCCGGGGAACGTACCAAATATCAAAAGGTCGCCATTTCCGGAGAGATTTTTTCCAACGAGCGGTGACATACGGAGGCCCTGCTGCTTTGACTGAAGCAAGACTCCAGTGGTTCCTAAGGCACCAGCCCCAAGGAAGCAAAATTCCTTCTAATGTAATTGAAGCAGAGAGAGTGAGTTGCGATATCCATTTCTGAAAGGTGAATCCAATACTTACCGCTTTAACCCAAAAGAGTTGTTCTTTGAAATCATCCCCAAACACCGACCTTCCACTTCCATGCCAGGCGAAGTGAATAGTGTAGCCTGCTCCGTCCGTCTTTTCTACGAATCGAACTTCACATCCGCAGAATATCTCAGCTCCCCAGTTCCAAGCATCTGCAAGATATGTTGTCGCCACGGAGTTTTTTGAACCATCGTTGAGACCAGTGCACTCATGACCCGAATGTCTACTTGCGTGCATAGGGACACCTGCACTGTTGCGGCCATTGCGGAAGGATATGGTCAACGGTACCCGATCGAAGCCCTCTTTCCCTCCAAGCCATTTCGACTGTTCTTGAAGATGCTCGAGTTTGTTTGGGGTTAAAGTATCTGGATACTTGGAAGGTTGCAGCATTGTTTCGGCTCGTGCATAGTCTGCATCGGTTAGTTATGAAATGTGCTCCGCCATATGCATATGTAACTCACATTCTTCGAGTGGAGATGGCTCGTCCCTGATCTCTGACGGCCATGGACTCATCTGCAGTGTTCCTTCGTCCGCTTTCAGGAAAACTCCAGCATTGATCAATGAAGTCCCTCCAAGTCCTATGGTTCCAATCAAAGAAACGGTTAGATCCTCCTATTCATGATACATTGGGAAATGTTGAATTTCACGTACCATGAGCACTAAAATAATGCTGTCCATCACCCAAAAATAATTGGTAAAGCCGCGTGGGATCCCCAGACGACATCCATCTTGAGATGAAGTTCTTCACATAATTCCCCGAGATACTCAAGTCTTTTAAACTTTGAGAGAAAGTACGTGGGAATGAACCGGCTGTGAGGAGGATGTTAGCAGTATCTTCACTGAGGCCTCTCAATCCGTACATCTTCTTTCCCAGCCAAGCTCGAGCACCGCGACACTCTTCCCTGCTCGAGCCATGCGACTTGCCGCTACTCCAGCTCCATAGCCAGATCCTACAATAACGACATCGTATTCTGGTCTCATTGATCCGAATGGATGACTCAAATTTGGATAGTTGTCCGTCTTCTCTGTGAATTTTGACATTGTTTTCGTGAGTACTGAATTTCCGGTGCTTGATTTTCTTGAGTAATGAATACTCAGAGCACAAAAGGCAAAATAAAAGAGAGAGATATATAAATATATATATATATATATATATATATATCCGTCCACCCTGGGGGATTACCAGCTAGATATAAAACACGTAACGCTAAGAGTCTAACCTTGGAAGAGTCTAAAAGTCAAGCAAGGCAAGGGCCAACATATACTTGTAGATCTCGGGACCATGCGGGCAAGAAAAGTGGGACTTGAGTTCTCCACGATCACATCAGAATTGGCCAGACGAGCCTAATCTTGGAACCTGAACGTCTCTAGCAGAAACCCTTTAGGGCAAATGTGTGTTGGTGTTGCAGTCGCGTTGCATGTTCGAAACTGCTTGGACATCAGGCTATGTACAAAGAAAGCAGCCAAATCTTTTTTTACATAAAATGTCCAAGATAAGAGAATGGGGGTACCGAATCAGTGTTAAGTGTTAACGTCAACATCATACCCAAGTCAAAAAGAAGGTAGCATTTTCTAAATCCGGACCACGTATCGAACACGTGGAGTAGACAAAAACTCCAGAGTATCTCCTATCTGTATGCTATGGGTGAACCCTATGATATTTGCCCTGTGCCTTGTAATGCCTCTACGCTTGGCTTAGAAAAGTTCGAATGTTGCAGTCAAAAGCTGGATCCATTCTGAATCTGTCACGTCATTCCGGTTGACACAAGCCACCGAGAAACGCCAAACCACTATTCTAGAAAGTCAATATTAGGTTTATAACTCCCTTGGTCATGTTCAACTAGGGGACTGGTATAGGGACCGGTATAGGGACCGGTATAGGGACCGGTAATGGGACCTTTCAGTAGACCCCCTGCCTGGAACTCAGTACCGCCTGAAGATTCTGCCTCTAATAATTCTAGTTTACGTAAAAAATGCTCATTTCAGCAGATTTATTGCTCGTACATATCAGTTTTTTCTGTATCAGACTGCTTCCGCACCCTCTGAATGCTTAGCACCATAGGTGGAGACTCGGGAACGATCTCTAGCTCGGAATCCGAGTCAGAAAGTAGGTATTCGAGGCCTAGAGAGGCCATATTTATTAACGATGAAAACGATGGAAACGATGGAAACGATGGAAACGATGGAAACGATGGAAACGATGGAAACGATGGAAACGATAAACGATGAAAACGATGGATTTGATCCTAGTGACTTAATTGTGTATGGGGTTTACATACAAATTGCAGGTATCTGCTGTCTTACTACTATTGGGTGGGAGGAGTACGAAAGCGGTGTAGAAGACCGTGTGGGGGACGGATACTGAAGCCGGGGGGTTCCTTACCAATCCCCTTCAAATATTGACGATTTCTCACCGTTCCAAGGTTCAATCGGCATAGCTAGACATTCACGTATTCATTAAATTGGGCGCATTGATAAACCCACTGATCAACTAAAATATGTACAATCATCACCGGACCATTAGACATCAAGGATCAATGATCACAATCTCCCTCTCGTCAACCATTGCCTTTACAACAGGCTTCCTCGGCGCTACAGCCCTCGGCACCGGCTTAATTTGCTCGAGAACGCCCCTGCAACGGCCGCAAAACTGACGCTTTGGGTCAACACTCTTTGAGTGACGCCCGACCCTGAAATCACAGCCCTGGGCCTTGCATGCCCAGATGTATTTGTGGTTGATCTCATAGCTATGTTTAGTCGTGACCTCAACCCGGCCCCCGTATATCGGGTGGCCTTCCAGTGCGCGGACACATCGGTCGCCCCATTGCTTGAAGCTGGCTCCGTGCTGCGCCGTACCCTTGGCCCTGTTTTCAGTGACCATGATATCGAGGAGGTGGCAGTACTCGTGTGTCATAGTGCAGAGGATCTTGTCCTCGCTGTCTAGGACTTTCTCGGAGAGCTCAATGGTGGCATGGTAACGTCGCTTCGCGGGTACTTCCACGCTCGCTTCTCCTTCCAGAAGCCGTTCTGTACGTACGGTTGCCCGCCCGGCAGTGTTTCTGAAATTCTTTGTCCAGATGATTTTGATGCCGCCGGTTGCCTTGGTCATGCTAGAGATCTGGCTGTTGAAGGTATTGTCAAGGTGTCGGAGGAATCCTTCGGCAAAGGCGATTTTCTTTTGGTTGAATTCGGCCACTTGGGCTCGAATCTCGCGTTTCCGTGCTGCCTCGGCCTTTTTCTGGGCCTTTATGGTGGTGGGAATGCCCATTCCCGGCGCACTACCAACCGATGTGATAGAGCTATTGAGAGAAAATTCCGAACTGTGAGAAGTAGTCAGTACGAAGAATTGCTGAGAAACTCGGAGTGCATATGCATGTCACTTGGTACTTACTTGGACTGTTCTGGATATTTTGGCGATGTAGACTCATTGTCGCTGTCTAGATAAAGATCCTCAAGGTGTTGTATGAGGTCTTTGGAGTTGTAGAGGCCGAAATGAAGAGGACAGCTTGAATCAGCCTGGGGTTTGGGTATCTCTGCCCTACTGACAGGGGATATAGACTTGGAACTGGTTGCAAGACTTGGTGTGCAGTCTTTAGGTGTTGGGGCGGCTGTTTTTGCGACTGTTTTTGCGACAGTCTTTGATTTCTCAATTGATCGGTCCAGCTCTGTCGCCAACTTCGTCGCTTCCATTGATGGCTCCTCGTCTGCAGAAGTGTTTGATTCTGCTTCCGATATTGGTCTTCTTCCACGCATGAGTCTTTTTCTTGGCGACCTGACAGGCGACGGAGCCGGGCTAGGTTCATCTTCTGTGTTGGCTGTCTCAGACTCCGATGTCTCAAAGGAGCTAGGCTCGTCATTGTCGCTGACAATGAACCCGTCTAGTGAGTCAGAGCTATCTTCTTCTTCAAAGCTGATTTCCGGCTCCTCTCGCTCTTCTTGGCGGTTGATCACTGGTTGTGTCGCGGCGATATAATCCATCCTAGTTCTTGTGGGAGCCTGAGAGGCACTCGGTCTTGTTGGCGTCAAATCTGGGGTTCGATATCCATCTGTGGCGTAGTCCGGCACATCATTCTCTTTGTCATAATCTTCAGTCTCCCTTCGGATGGCTGGACGTGGTCTCCGCTTTGCTGGTAGGAGTAACGAATTCACACGTGCGAGTCCCAGTGTCCTTTGCTTTTGCTGCTTTCCGGTGGACCTGTGCTGTCCAAATTCATTTTCCGATGCGGAGTCGCTGTCGGGGAATATATCAAATGATCCACCTAGACCATTTGCTTGCCGTTGCGACTGGCTTTGCGGCTTGATGGGCATGTTTTGCTTGGCTATGTTCCTGAAATTGAAACATGGCTCTCTAGGCAGTGGACTATTGCGGGATGTCCCTAGGGTACGTGCGCCAATCTCTTTGTGGGGAGTGTTTTTGACCAGCGGGTTGGCTGTGTTGAGCCTTGCCATGGTCGCGATGTTGTTCTAATTGTAATACGCAGTCCCGTGGTTGACCCTATGGTCGCTGGTGGTGATGATGATGATATTTCCCAGGTATATAATATATCGTAACTGCGCTGACTAGGTCGGTGCTAGAGGCCCCGGGGATTTTCGTTGTTCTTTTAAGGTTGGTCCCATGTTGCTCCGGCTGTTGAGCTGTCAACGGACACGTTGGCACGGCAACGTGCAACCCACAAACTAGATGTACCACCTCACAGGCTTGTAGGTTATAATCCGGGTGAAACGTGTGGACAATTTGAATTATGAGCCAGCACTGTGAGAAAATAAATATTATTATAGCAGCCCGGTGGAAGTCCAGGGCTGCCCAGATGAGGTTCAGGTAAGGACCATTTTGGGATTATATTATGTAGGAGTGTGGTATCTCTACTGTATATAATTCAGTACATTGGTGCACTAATTATGGCATTATTATTGTACCATATTTATGTCTTCCACTCCAGGGCTCCGATATCTTGAATAGGTTGCTTTCAACTTGACGTTAACCCTTGTCGTAATAATCTACATTTGTTTATACATGCAGTTATTTTTTTTTTTTTTAGAAAGAACAAACTTATTAGGATGGGAAATAAAGATAGAGTTGTTGTTACATTGTGGTTATATGGGATGCAAGTAAAACGATATATATATATATAACAGTAGACACCTGTGAAAAACTACACCGACGACAACAAGAACACCCAACAAAACAATAATTCCACGCAAATTACTAGTATCTCTAAACATGATCTCTTATATATACTGGTGCAAAATATGCTCCATGCTGTGGGCTAAGAATAACAGCGACGGCTTACACATGGAATGGATGCAGCTCTACTACTCCATATAGAATTCATGATGTATGGAGATATGCTTTCTGCTTACCTATATTAAAAACTAATAGAACATAGCAAGGTAGTCATTGCAGGGCCCAGGGATTTGGAACTGAACCTTTAATAATGCAATTGACCTAGCTAATATTCATCACCATATAAAGATTCACTACCCTTTGAGCCGAGTCCCAGAGCTGCGCACTATAGGATGGCACTAGGGAAGCTATAGTCCGTATATTTGATCTAGACGGACATATTGTAAGTACACATAGATCTATAACATAAGGAAGAGAGAGAAAAACAAACAAACAAACAAAACAAAGTGTGGTCGGATGTCCTGTAATAACTAACACGAAAAGCACTTCAGTCACCAATGCGAGAATAGTGCGTAGATCTGCGGAGATCTCAGGCAACGGGAGGCTGGACCTCCTTGCTGCAAGTAGTTAGTGTTCCTGGAGAGGCAGCTGTATAGCGTCACTCGGAATGGATGAACTGACGGAGTATGCTGACACCAAACAGAGCAGCTACATTGTACCGCGTGGCTTGTGGAAGTTAGACTCCTAGGCCTTGGATCAACGCTAAGCCTAGGGACATTATAAGGGCCACTCCATCGCTATGCCGATGAAGATCGGCGTCCCCTTGCCTCCCAGCAAATAGTGGAGATTATCTGCCTTGCTCGTACAAATTTGGAATTTGATCTGTGAGTGAACTATGGATCTGTGAGTATAATCTACGATTGGCCGAGAGGTTATGTCAACCGTCCCAGCCTCTGTATATCGGCTTGGCATCACTGGTGAAACATGAGGTGCAAATAATATGGCCTTGGGATTGAAAATGGAAGAGATAAATGATCTATAGAGAAAGAGCCCTTCACGCGAAATTTGGCTACCTGGAGTCAATTGAATTTGTTCTACTAGCCCTGATGAGTATATAATATCTACGTAGGGAAAGACGGCACCGTAAAATGAACCTTAGAAGAGATGTACCATAATTGACGTAGTTGAATTCTTAATAAACGATATACCTAAGTATTATTGGTACGGAGTACACAGCCATTACCCGACAACGGCGAAGCTTAACATAAACCCTGTCATAAAGATATAACACTGTACTACGCATGTAATATTTGGATGTTGTATGCATGCCCAGGTGTCATATGTGCTATTTTGTTCTACTTTGAACTGGTTATGTGGCGGGGTAATCCCCGGGGCCGCTCGTTTAAACCCTGTGGCCTTTGGCCGTGAACGTACTGATTCAACGTACAAATCACGTGGAAAATTCAAACAGAACTTATGATATCGACATATCACTACTTGAGGCCTTTGAGGTATGTTGTGTTGTATATATGGACACAACTACCTCAAAATAGGGGTCATGATTAGCTCCCCGAGGGATCATGACGCATATAGAATGTGGAGGCCCCCGGAGCCGGGGGTCACAGCCCCCTAATTACTCAATTTGAATCAGAGTCCAAAGTCTCGCGATTAGCTCCTGTGTAAATGATTATTAGACGCTTAATCAATAATGGGCCGCAGAGTACTCTGTAGAGATTGAAATACATCCACGGGGAGCCGGTGCTAACGTTTGATGTACGCCTTATTCAGGGGCTAGAGCCGAAAATAACTACGAAAGAGCTTGTTATGGGGTTCTAGAAACAATGGTGTCGATGGCTGCTAGTGGCTCCCCCTAGATGCAAGTAAGCCAGTCTTTTGTTTAAAAAAATAAATATAAGGGTACATTGTTTTCATACATAATTATGAGCGTTTGCTCGACATTTAGTCACATTTGAGGATTGTGTTAGTGCGGTGTACTAGGTATTGAAAGGCGGGTCAATACGTAGCAATCAGTACGTACAATAAATGTGCGACACTAGGGCACGCCTACCGGCTAGTGATCGCTGACTAGACCTTTTAAGACTAATTTCTCCGTCGGTAGGTTATTTTTGGATTACATTACGGAGTACATAGTACGAAGTACAACATGCGATCGCTATCGGTCTGAGATACCAGTGGGTAACTATCAATAATAAAGACCCCAGTATTCTGTACTCCGTAGGGTGGATAAATAGTGAAATCCACAGGAGAAAATGGAAATCAAATATCGAAGATCGGCTTCCTTTATGCAGCTGATGTGTCGTACCTGCGCGATCCTGCGTCCGCCGTATCAGGGTGTACAAGGTACAAGTACTCTGTTGCAAACTAATAATGCTGTGGTCCGTGATGCAAGTATATGTTGTAACGGCTACAAGTGCCACAATATACTCGATAAGTACTGGCTTGATTGTGCTGCAGCGGCTTGGTTATGGCGTACAATATCGAGGCTCTCCGAAAGAATTAAGAAAAAAGCAATTGATGATCCACTTAGTGTGTGGACAAGATGAAATCCTGCGTCTAACGGTGGAGATCTTTTTCGAATACAAAGTTACTAGCTCTGTATGTATACACAGTATCAGCTGGTGTATTCAGATACATCTATACCCAGTCCAAGTGTACATTTTATGCATAGTCAGACCTGATATAGTATACGGATTAATAATCATATATAACTGTGTGAGGTTGAGGTAGGGAGATGAAATGTACCTAGGGAAGCCCATAAAAAGATAAATATAGACAAAGCCGATTGAGTTTTCAAACCTTGGAACGTTAGCGAGCTCAACTTGTGGCTTAAGTGACCAAGCCTACAAAAGCTTTCGGGTTTTCTGATACGGTGTCCACTGTGCGCTGTGTAATATAGAAGGCCAGCCACATTTACCTTGAAAATAGCCGGGAGTGGAAAGTCAAATGTATTACACATGGAACTGATCGACTACAAATTGAGACACTTGTATTGCGGTGGCAAATCAGCCGTACGCTAAACACTAAAACGGAGTAAAAAAAAGTCTGTGATCGATCACTATGATGAAAGCAGCAATAAGAATGGAAGATCGTGGAGATTAACAATAATGTATATATATGTAAAAAAAATATATATAATATAAGCAGTGTGGAAAGTAACCTTGGAAAGACCAAAAGACCATGGTTTCTGTCGCTTGAGAGCCATGGAACAAGAGTTGAGAACACGTCCATGACCAACCATCTGAGCTCAGATTTGATATTAATTTTATTTGAACATCAAATCATGTTTAAGATGCTGTATTATCTGGTTCGGATTATAACAAAACATTCAATTGAATTGATACCGATCACATATTAGAAACAGTTCAAATGTTGCCACCTAAGCAGATAGATAAGCGTACGTACCTACATTGGTAGAAACCCCGAAGTATGAGAGCCAAGTCTAGAAGTGTACGTATAGTACGGAGTAACGAGGAATGAAAAACAGTGCTGGGGCGCTATCCCTACATACCAAGTGGTCGCCATAACAAGAAATCCAATTTTGGAAACAGTTCCATAGGTATCTTGGGAAATGCACTCCCAGCCACATTATTTGTTACCGGATTACAAGTTGGCTGGTTATAGTGGGGCAAGTTTCAGGGGCCGTCGAGACTCCCTTGGATTCCGAGTGCCCGAGATAGACGGTCATTGGGGAAGGGAGATTGGAAATTGAAAGTTGATCGGGGGAAACACAGTAAATACAGTCGGACAGTAACGGTAATTCTAAAATGGACGATCAGGGAGAGCCCTGGAGAGAACTCTAGGCTAGAAAGGCAAGCTAAACTTAATGCGCCACGTATGGTAAACAAAGGGGTGGTAATCAGTACCTGGGAAAGATAGGGGCCAGCCATACTGGGAAGAGGTATTCAGTACCTGGAAGTCTGACACGTACCCTTTCTAAGTGTAAGATGACGGTAAATTACTCTGAAGACAACAGAGCACCACCCCCCAAATCCCAAAAATAACAAGCATTTTCTTGTCTTCCCTTTCCAACCCCCTTCCATTCGCTTTTTGTCTCGATTGTTCCTTCTATTTGCTACCTTTCGTGTTCTTTCTTTTTTTTGACGAAAGAAGATAGGAGGGAGGCTGCTTTGCTCTTAAAAATATCCATTGCACCTTCCTTTTCGTGAGACAGAGAACCACTCACTTGCCATTCGTTACGGAGTCGGAGACTCGTTCGACACACCTTCGCTTGGGTTCTCAAGATAACGCATTTATTTCCTGAGCATTTCATCTTGCCACGTCCATGCTGCATTAATTCGACATC